CTGGTTGCGGAAATGAGGACGTCGTCGAAATAAGGGACGACGCCCTTGAGTCCATGAAGCAGCCACTCCTTTAACTTTGAAGCATTAACTTTGAAATAAGCTGGGGGCAATGCTTACCCCAAACTGCAACCGCCGACATTTGAACGCCCCACGATGTGTGATGATGGTCTGGGCTTCCGCTGCTGGTGCCTTTGGACAAGGTGTGCAGCAGGTGGTGAACGACTGGCACTGGATAGGCATTGGGTGGCAAGGCGCAGTTCAAAGAACATTTATAGTCAGTGCAGATCCTTACGCTGCCATCCGGCTTAACTGGTACCACGATAGGGGTCTCCCACCTTGTATGGTCCACTGGCTCAAAGACCCCTTGGGTGATGAGTCTATCTAGTTCTGCGTCGACTTTGGGCTTGAGTGCGAAGGGCAGTCTGCGCGGCTTCAGGTGGACCAGTGGAACCTTTGGATCAATATTGAAAGAGACAGGAATGCCTTTGTAGGTGCCCAGCTGGCTGTCAAAAATGGCGGGAAACTCTTTGACTAAGATGTCCAGTTCGGCTGATTGCACGCAATTGATGCCATTTATCAATCAAGTCCAAGGAGGATGGGCAAGGCTCCTTTGACCACAATCAAGGGCAATTGACCATTGAAACCATTGAACTGTACTTGTACAGTTCTTGTGCCAATTATGGGAATAATATTCCCTTGATAGTCCCTTAAATTCAGGTTGCAATGTTGTAAATGCCGCTTGGATAGCTTTGGCAAAACGCGCTTAATGGTGTTCCAGGAACAATAGAGATTGCAGAGCCTGTGTCTACTTCCATCACGCAGGGCACCTCCTCTATTTGGACTGTCAGGTTGATTTTCTTCATCAGGAATTGCAAGTCTGGAACGCTTGCACTTCAGACTTGGTCGGGTTGCAAAAAATGGCATGACAGTCATCGTCTACTTTTGCATCTTTCACTGAGGTTCTTTTGCGGCTGGGCAGCTTGATTGATGGAGCATTGAGAGGTTGAGAGGCGCAACAAACTTTGGTTATGTGCCCTTTTCACCCACAGCGCTGGCAAATACCCTGCCTGAATTTACATTCAGCTCTGGAATGGTTGCCACCACAACCCAGGCAGGCTGATTTACCAGCGCTCCGGCCGCCAGGCCAGCTCTTTTTCTTCCTCGCTTCATTAAGGCAGTTAACATCCTCCTTTTCCTCAGGCTCCGAATCTGTAGTCGTGTCGCCTTGATGGACAGTTGCTGTGGGTAGTGCAGCAGCTCTTGTTTATGACCCCCACAGCAAAGCCTAGATTGCAGCAAGAGATTGATTAGACAGTTCTGCTGAGCACGCTTCAGCCAGCATGGTTTCAAAAGTGACATCAGTTTTGGCTAACAGCCTGCGCTGTAATTTTAAATCACGCAACCCACATACCAAGTGATCCAGCAGGATGTCTTCTAGTTCTTTGAAATCGCAAAGTAGTGCCGCTGCTCTCAACACCGCGATATATCGGTTCACAGACTCTCCTTCAGCTTGGCCCCTGTGGTGAAACGCGTGTCGGTGGGCAATTTTGGATGGTGCCAGTGTGTAGTGATTCTTAAGCTTCGCCATTAACTGCTCCCAAGGCACTGATTTAATGGCCAGCAGGGCTGTGATGGCTCTTGCAGTTTTGAATACTTCTGGTCCGCAAACAGACAGGGAATAAGCACATTTTTGTTCGTCTGTCAAATCCGTGAAGTTGTGCGCCACTAAGAAAAACTCAAAATGCGTAAATTACGTTTCCCCAGACACAGTGGGGTTAAAGATTATAATCCGCCCCCACCCGAATGATGAATGTTGTTTCTATTTTTAATTATGTATTGTCT